TATGACGAAGAGGTGGAATCGTTCTATATCGTTATATCAACAAATTCAAGAGTCATTGAGAACTACCAAAGCACGTGACGTCACAATAATAATGGGTACATTAATTATAAACATTAAAAAAATGTAATAAGCGGTATTTGACAAATCATAAGTTAAACCTTCATTGTAGAAAATTTCAAAATAATTTTTTTTAAAAATGTGCCCTTCGGTGTCCAATCTTATTAGGTGCATCTTGGATGACGAATGTATGATGATTGGAAATAATTCAAAATATTTTCCTAAGACTAAGACTAATTTATTATTAGTCTTTTTTTTCAAAACCATACTCTGTTAGATAAAATTATTAAATAACCACGATTTAACTTACAGTCCCTGCTCAATTTATTAGTCACCATAAAAATTTCAGTTTTTTTAATTTTAATCGCATTGAAAGTATGTTCACTTGGATACTGAGGTGCTGAATGGGTTAACGGAAATGGCATAACTATTGGGAACATAGTTAAGTAAAAAATGGTATACTTTTTCTTAGAATTCTCAAAAATTTATGCATGACAGTAGAATGTGCTCAAAGTGTGGAGCAACTAATTAGTTTACATTTTGATTTTTATTACTTAAAATATAGATTTGTGATCAGTTTATTTAAAATTTGCACCAGTAAGTATTGTCATTATTACATAATAGTGTTACTATTATTAATATTACACTATTACATAATATTGGTTAATTCTTAGTTATAATACAAAACGATTAATCTAGGATTGGAATTTTTCAGATGGGTAAATCTAAAGATCTTTGTGTTGAGCAAATCTATTCAATTACTGCTCTACTACAAAATACATTACTTAGTCAGAGAGAGATAGCACGAAAATAGGGTGTATCTCAGTCGTCAGTGAGAAGATTAAGTCAAAAACTTAAAGAGAAGCGACATGTGACGTCAGTTCGGAAGGGCCGATGTGGCAAAAAACCTTCAGTCACCCCAGAGCGCAACGAATTTAAAAAAATTTAGCTGTAACACACAGAAGGGCCACCCATAGAGATTTAAGAAATAAGTTGGAAGAAGCAGGGTGCTCAGTATCAGTGGCCACTGTACGCCGAAATTTGTATAGCATGTGCTTCAAATGTCGCAGGCCTGTTAAGAAGCCAAAACTAACACCACAAATGCTTAAAAAACGCTTAGCTTGGGCCAATATCCATAAAGACTGGTCTATTGATGATTGGCGTAAGGTAAATTATTACAAATAATTTTATTTTCGTTCTTTATAATTTTATTCACATTTCCAGGTTTGCTTCAGCGATGAAGCCACGTTTTAAATAATGGATGACAAGGCCCAGTTTGTCCGAAGATGTCCAGGGGAAAAATATAAAAAGGGGTGTGTAATTAATACAATTAAACATCCCACCTCAGTAATGATATGGTCGGTGATTAGTGGCAAAGGTATGGGACGTTTGTATGTCGTAGTAGGAACCATGCGACAAGACCAATATAAAAGGGTTTTGCAGACAAGATTGGTTCCACAAGTGAACGAATGGTTTGGTAACAGCCATAAGTCCGCTCTTACCATGGCCCGTCAACTCGCCAGACATGAACCCCATTGAAAATGTCTGGGAGTGTCTAAAAAGAGAATTAGCCAAGGAAATAATTACTAACAAGATTCACTTGATAGAAAGAATCATTTTCTATTGGAATCATACCGAAAATTTAAAAGAAATTGCAGAAAAATGCATAAACAGCATGCCTAGGAGAGTAGCTGCACTTATTAATGCCAAGGGTGGCTTAACAAAATATTAATGTTATAGTACAATATTGTAACAATTTACTTTATTTTTGTTCATTAAATATGCCAAAAGGTTACTACTATCATTTGTGATATGTTTCTTACTTATAGCTAACATAGTTGTAATTATAATTGATTATAAAACACAGAAAACATGAATTTTTTAAGTGATTGTAATAAATTGAGCAGGGACTGTACATGTACTGGTCAAAAAAACCTTCTCTTCCATCATGTATGGTTTTAGAAATACAAGTACTTATAATAGTGATTCTTCAGTCGAAAAATTTGAATTCTTTAACATGTTGGAGCGACTAGGAATTAATATTCCTGTATATAATGAAAATTTGCTGAAATATATTAAGTGCCTACATACCAAATCTGTCAGATTTTCTGGAAATATATACCGATGTATCAAAACAAAATAATGGTACGGGATGTGCATTCTATGTACCATCAACAAACGGCCAAGAAAAATTCAAATTAAATAATAATAATTATATTTTTTTCTGCAGAAGCGATTGGTATTATTAAAACATGCGATTATATCGAAAACAAGTTAAAAAAAACTTTTTGAGTGACTCCTTATCTGTTATTAAATGCAGTAAAGAAAAATAAAAGAGAATTAAAAGTAAGAATTCATAAATTAAAAAAAAAGTCAATACAAAATTAAAATTCACTTGAGTAAAAGCTAATATAGGACTTCGTAGCAATGAAGTTGCAGATTACTTAACCAAAGAAAGCGTTACAACTGTATATCAAGCATATCAAAAACAATTTAGGTGCTCAAGAATATTTAATGATATTTAATAGTAATTTTAAGACAAAATGGAAATTGCATTGGAAAATCTATTAGTCTAATAACCTCACACGATACACACTATTACATCCAAGTATTCCGACAGTTTTGTGGCACCAAGATTATAATTTTAGGAGAAATGATTTTGTGACCATTTGTAGGTTGAAATTTGGACATGCAAGCTTCCCTCAGCACTTACATAAAATCGGTGTATTCAACACCGAACTTTGTGAAACTTGCAATGTGGTTTGCGACTTAGATCATATTTTTTATGCTTGTAGTAAATTTGAAATACAAAGACAGGAATTTATTAATAGTTTATTATTGCCAAAATTGTACCCCCTTTTATTCTACTTAATTTAATATCATTAAATATGTATAAGGTATATAAAATTATTCTTAAATTTATTAAAATGTGTAACTTAAAACTTTAGTGTAGGTGTTAAGCTTGTTACCTCTGTTGAATATATTGCGATATAATGCCATATGTTTTGAATTATTTTTAGAATCAATATAGAACCAGTCAGAGGAAGATAACACAAACATTCCATCCTCAGAGTGTGGTAAAAACCATTTAGACTACAATTGTGATAACTACTTTTATCTTTGGAATGAAAATGCTATACAAAACTGCAGTCAGTTGTTTCATCCAATCAAACACCTTATACTATCAGCACCCCAAGCAAACATCCCGATTTCTCTAGTTTCCAAATCAACTCCGAAATGTTCTAGAAAATGAAAACAGGTTTCTCGAAAACATGTAGGTAACGTCAGACGTCGACATGTTGCATCTTGGAATATTAATACAAGAAAGAGAATAAAAAATACAGGTACATCATCTAAAAGTCGTGACGGTACAATCAGCTTGCGAAATCATTAAAACCGATGTGTCCAGAAAATTGTAGACAAAACTGTTCTTCAAAAATTATTACCGATCAAAGGATTTCCATTTTCAATAAATTTTGGAATTTATGTAAGAGAGAAAAAGAGGTTTTGGCTAATACAGTATCGAGACGCAATTTTACTCTCATTTATAGACCGAAAGTGAAGAGAGGAGATAAGGACGAATTTATATTTGTTTGTAAAAAGACGTTTTTAAATACTTTCTCTATAAGTGAACAGTTTTTCTACACTACTTTGCAAAAACTGAACGTTACTAGCGGTTTTATATAAATAGATCAGATGCCATCACAATCATCGTAAGGTATGAACCGAAGACGTTGTCAAAAGTGTTTGTAATCGCTTATTTGATTTATACAAGGAATGGTTTGACGAACAGGTATACTCATCTATAGCTAATACTGAAAGTCAATATCGTGATATTGTTAACGAACATTTTAAATTGAGTTTTTACGTTAACAAAAAGGACCAATGTGATAAATCTCACATTTAAAAAACAAATCCACACCAACATTGCTTGAAACACAGATATATGAATCACATCTGCATCGTAAAAATCTCACACATGAAAGAAATTGCTTCCATAAAAGGTAAGCTAAAACCTTTAAGGGAAAAATATTAACAGCTAAATTCAATTTTCAGAAAATACTTTCTTTATTATCTGTATTATAAAGGTAAAGTATCAATGTTCAGCTTCACTATTTTCAATGTCGTGGATAAAACATAAAAACCTAGGACCTAGGATGGATCGCAAAACAAACGAACTAATTCTCGAACAACTAGGAAAACGTGGCTACGCAATCTCCGTGAATGGTTTGGATGCAGTTCAATTGAACTATTAAGACGCGTAACCAACAAAATTATAATTGCCAGAATGATTTCCAATCTCCGATAGGAGTGGAAGTTAAAGAAGAAAAAGAAAGTTATTAATTTTTTTTGTTCCTTGTAAAAAGTAATATTTTCTTGTTTTTCGTATTAATTGGGCAAAACAGAGCTAAGAAATAACTGACATTGAATTGAAAAATGCTGTATTTTGATAAACGTTGCCTTCCCAATCTTTTGTATACCTACGCCTCTTATTTTCCCATTTTGACTGTGACCTATCCTTAAGGAAGCTGGAGATCCTCATGGCCAAATTGCTGATCGACCGGTAGCGCCAAACCAAATGTAATCAATGTTTCTCTTATCTATTTACGTAATTTAAGATTAGGATTTATTTCTAAATATATTTTTTAATGAAATATATGAGAAAAGAAAGCATATTAATACTAAAAATTAAAAAACATCAACATGGTAAGAGCTTTAACGCCGACTATTAAATTTTATTGCAAGTTGAACATTTAGAACAGAATAATTAACTATAATGGAGAACATTTACCATTTTACAATCAATTAAACCTCTAACTTTCCAATAAAAGAAGTTCCTCATTAATTTTTCATTGCACTGTACACTCCACAAATCGATTTTCCCTTTTTAAATTTATCCACCACAAACCATTACTATCACCATTTTTGATAAACTATTTTACCTTCTACTCATCCTGACGAATTCACAAAGTTTCTTGCACGGAAAACTGATGCTCTGAGCCCGCTAGTAGAGTGGATACTAGAAAGATTAATCAAAAAGCTATGCTGGCGTGTGAGAATTTTATCACATGTGGGAATGGCAAGGCCGGAGGGGAAATGCTTTTTCGCAGGGTGAGGTTGATAACACGAAAAACTGTCCCAAAATATTATAATAACGTGGCTTATGAGTAGATTAATTAAACAAAAATATAAAGGAGTAATGTAGCAAAGTATGTTTTATTTATATTGCTCTGTTTACACAAAGTTTTTGTGCTAGAATTATATATTTGATATATTTTTTTTCATGGATATAAATAATATTGAATATAATAATAATAATTGAAAAGGTTCACTGAAAATCATGAATGTGTTGCTTGTGTGAGTCCATTTCAATTAGGTAAAGAAATAATAAATAAGACTTACTCACATTCAATTTAATTTAACTATCTGACGACTGGTTTCGCTTTCTACAATATGCAAAGCATACTCAGGTCTCGATACAAAGTTAAACAAATGTTGAAATAATAAAAACCCATATTAGGGTGTTGTCCAATAACGATAAACAAAGTAACAACATTAACAAAAGTAACAAATTTACAACATCTACTTTGTTTTCGTTATTGGACAACACCCTAATATGGGTTTTTATTATTTTAGCATTTGTTTAACTTTGTATGGAGACCTGAGGATGCTTTGCATATTGTAGAAAGCGAAACCGGTCGTCAGATAGTTAAATTAAATTGATTGTGAGTAAGTCTTATTTATTATTTCTTTACCTAGTTCACTGAAAAATTTCTCGAATGACACCTGACACCATTTAGCAATTGGGACTGTATAATTCCCATATTCCCTGAGGATTTGATATGCAAAATAGCCAAAACACCATGTCCTTGGTAAAAATATATATTATGGTATTATACCATCCGTAATCTTTTTTGGATGTTACTAGAAAGGTCACCAATGGATATACTGCGAACGGCAGCCAGATGGTTGGTGGAGAGTGAGTCGTGGTTTCAAAACTAGCTTTTGGAGAAATGTTGAGCTTTATTATATAACATAAGAAATTATCAAAGCTAAGATAACATAGGATAGATACGTAGGTCGATGGAAAAATAGATAGAGAGAAATGTATGGAAAGTTACCATAGAAAAGTAGATGAAAATAGAAAAACGACGCCATTTAACTTTTTGTCAATAAAAGGGGAAATCTAAGAAATCACAAAAAATATTTCGTCCACTTAGTTACCTATAAGACTTATATAGTCTGATCTTTCCTTCTAGTCGAAATATAGCAAAGCAAATGTTTAAATCTAATATTTAATCAGGGAGCGTGTTGGTAGTAGAGAAATAAAATGTGTTAGTTAAACAAAAATAATATATTGAAGAACAATTCAAAAAATGGTTGAATCAAAATAAAAAAATTAAACGGTAAATTGTTAGCTTCAACATATAGGGTTAAATTCATCTAAAAATACAAAAAAATGTACAAATAATTAACACCTCGTTGGCTACATATAAAAATAAATAATAAATCAATAAAAAAATACCTTCAACATACACAATACATAGAAAATACAGGTAAAAGACCAGTAAAAATCAACCAAGGCGTAAGACAAGGAGACAATATCTCTAAAATATTTACAGCTACCTTAGACGTTATCTTTAAGCCAATAAACTGGAAAATAGAGGGAATCCCTATTAACGGAAGAGACTTGAACCATCTTAGATACGCAGATGATCTAATAGCCGACACGTGGAATGCACTGAATACAATGATTGAGGAGCTAAAAGCTAGAGCTTGAAAATAAATTTCAGCAAAACTAAACTAATGTCAAACAAATATGACAAACCTATGATAAACATTAAAGGGGCAGAGATAGAACACATAGATGAATATACATATCTGGGTCAAAATGTCAAGATAAACAAATAAAATCAGACTACCGAAATCCAAGTAACTTTTTTGTTTGAATTTTTAAAGAGAAGATAGACATTTTTTTCAATGATTGCTTTCATATCAATTTAAATTGTAATAATTAATATTGCACTATCTAATGATTGGATCAGTGGATCAGAACCAGAACAAAGACAGTAGACGCGATAGAACAAGCAGCAAAACTGAAATGGAAATGGGCTAGACACAATGAACGTCTCCAAGACGGACGATGGAACAACAAGGGACGATACAATGCAAAGAGATCAAGAGGCAGACCACAGATGAGGTGGAAAGATGACATCAGGAAACAAGGAGGTCCCACATGGCAGAGAACAGCTCAAGATAGGGAAAGATGGAGAGAACTGGGGGAGACCTATATCCAAAAATGGAAGGATAGAGAAGGTTCCAAAAAAAATCTAATGATATGTGAGATTGTTGTTTGGTTTTTTTTTTGAAGGAAGCTTAATCTCCATGCAGTAACAATTTTTTGTAAGTTTTGTAGGAGCTCTCACTTGTAAACAGAGTTGGTAAACGAATAGGACACATGTAAGTTTTTCTTTGTTATTTTTGTATTTTGCCACTATAGATATATTATTTTTGCATTATAAACAATAAATGTTTAATTTAGTTCTCTAAACCATTTTGGTTAATTCTCTTAACTAACTCTCTAACCTCTTTTTTGAGTTTCATTTAAAAAGATATATTGTTCATTGCTAATTATTATTTGAATAGTTATAACTAGTTGTTGTAATCGTTATAATTTGGCACCTCGAAACGGTGCCCATTTTAATTTGTCAGAGGTCTTTTCTGTGTTTTGTTTGCCCATTTTTTCCAGGAGATTCATGTTAGTACCTCTTTGTTTCATTTTTGAAGTTGCCCCAATCCGATCCCCCTGCCATTCACTTATCCAGGACCCAGCTACTTCAAATAAACCCTAAGTGCCGTTCGTATAAGTATCGTTTATTTTGCTTGCCCTAACTCCACTCCCTCTAGATTAGATTATGTATGGTCGTTAAGGCCATGCGGCCTCACCGCACTTCGGCGTATAGAGATCTTTTGTGCATACCTTAATCTAGTTGCCAATACTTCTGATGAAGTTGATTAGCTTTCTAGGTGACTTGTTTCCTATGTTAGAGGACGCCAGACTTACCTCTCCTAGGAATTTTAGTCGTTTGCAGAACAGTGCTACGCAGTTGCATAGTATATGTTCTGCTGTTTCTTTTTCATTGTGACAGAAACGACAGTTCTCACTATCTGATTTTTTGAGATGATATGTCAGAGGGCAGTGACCAGTGAGAAGGCCAGTGACCATTTTGATCTTTTTACTCATTTACACTGATAGTCCTCAGACAGGTTCCGGACCCTGGAATGGGGTATTAGCTCCTTCTTTTGCGAGGCTGTCAGCTTCCTCATTTCCTGCAATTCCCTTGTGACCTGGCACCCACATCACAGTTACATTGTTGCGTTCCGCCAGCTTCTTGAGAGATTGTTTACAGTCCCAAACCAATTTTGACTTAAATGTAAATGACTTTAGAGCCTTTAAGGCGACTTGGTTGTCTGATAAAATAAAGACTTTTGTCCTACGGGTGTCTCGGTTGAGACATTCTTGGGCACTTATGTCAATAGCATGTATTTCTGCCTGGAAGATAGTTGGGGCGTTTCCAAGAGATTTAGATTAGGTGGATCCTGAAATTGGACCCACTAACTCCCACTCCTGCCCTTTCATCTATCTTAGATCCATCTGTATACCATACGAGTGAACTTTCTTCCACCTTTGGTTTAATTTCTTTCTGATTTTTTATGACCACTTCAAAGTGTGTTTCAAAGTCGAATTTGACTGGCATAGCATCTGTCGGCATCTCTTAGAATCCAATGGAAGATTTTTAGGTAGCCAATTAGATCTCCAAGATTCATTATTTGTGTCTGTCGCAGTTTTAAGGCGGTAGTTACTGCTTCCCCCCTTATGCAGAACTGCAAGGGAGGAAGGTTCAGCATCACCTCTAGAGCTGCAGTGGGATATGTTGACATTGCCCCTGTGATTCCCAGAGAAGCTAGCCGCTGCACTTTTTGCAGCTTGGCGTTAGCTGTTGTTTGTTATGTTTTTGGTCAGCATACGAATGATGCGTATGTGACCATGGGCCTAAGTATTGTTTTATATGACCAGAGCATCATTTTCGGTTGTAGGCCCCAAGTCTTTCCAAACGTCTTGCGGCAGGTCCAACTTGCCACCAAAGCTCTGGATAATTTTTTTTCAATATGACTATTCCAGGTGAGTTTTTGATCTAGGGTTACCCCCAGAACGTTCACGTTAGAATATTCCTTGGAATAGTCTAAAGTGATGCTATTCATAGTTGAAGCATGTAAATTGTATTTACGTCTCCTTGTGAAAGGTATCAAAGTCGTTTTACCACCCCTGTAACTTCTGTCTCCAATTTTCAACCCCTAATAATAATACCCTATGTGGTAGGCAAAAAGATATTCGTTGCAATTTTTAGGTTTTAAAAACATCTCTTTGTTCAAAATAATTTTTAAAATTAAGATAAATAAAATATTTTTCAATTTTTTTTCTCAGCGTAGTAAATTTTACGATGGTTAGTGTAAATAAAGATAAAAATAAGGTTAGTATTCTAGGGTTAATTCTGAGTATCCAAATCCTACTACATTTTAAACAGCCTCTTAAAAAGCAATTTCTTTAATTTTTTAGTATCTCTAGGCTTAAGTATATACGAGCTAAAATGCGCCTTAATATTTTATTTTTCTGCTCCCTAAAAGTGCGGCATTGGAAAGGAAATATAATATTCAAGATATCGAACAAACACGCAGCCCAAATGAAGAATTAATTTAAAAAGAGTGACTGATAACGTCAAGAAAGAAAATTGTGTCCAAACAATATAAAAGATTTAACGACTAGCTAAGAGGTCAAGTAACCCCTGTTTTCCGGTTAAAAGACCCAAATTCAATTGGATTGGAAGATTACTGTCGGCTTTTATTACGAATAATACATGATCATTATAACTGTCTATTTAGCGATGATTAAAAAGCGAAACAAGTTACAAAGTGAAGAGATGGCTTGATGAAGAATGTAAAACGT